AACCGGCAACCTTCTTGCTGCGAGGCAACAGCCTACTTTGAAGAGTTCTGGAAACAAGTGGTACAAACTGTTGAACAGTAAAACACGAATCCAGAAGCTGCAGCCTAAAGACAGACAGAAGTCTGTATGGACACAGAGCAAGAACACTTTAGACATAAGTGTTAACACTGTAAAATAATAAATATTAGCAGCTGTAATTACCAAAAAAATACGGCAATCATGTATTACACATGACCGTATTTATTAGTTTATACTACAACATATATTGTAAAACTGTTCATGGTTATTTGCTTTTTAAAAAAATCTGAAAAATAAATGTGTTTATGGTAAACTATTAACAGTTAAATAAAAAACAACAGTTGTGGTTTCCAGAATATTGTGGCCTGTTAATGATAAATTACAAAGGAAGTAATAACTAAAGTTCATTGTAAGCCAACGTACAGACTATCACTGATAAACTTTGAGAAACAGTTTCTACTGTTAGACATTCTCAGAGAAAACCAAACTGAACTCATCTGGCTACTTGTCCATTATACTCAAAACAAGAATGACATCTTGAAGAAGAGCATGTGTTCATATTTATAAAGGAATGAATGATCGAAAAATTATTTTACAAAATTATCTCTCTTATTATTTTGGCGTTTAGCAAAAAGAAGTAATGTTGGTAATCCTAACTGACCTAAAACAGGAAAACTTTAGTCACATTTAATATCAGACAGTGAGGAAAAAAAAGGTTGTGTCTTTTTATACAGTGTATGTAAACTTCTGGTTTCAACTGTATATGTGTGTGCTGAGACAGGTGTGTGATCACAAACTACCCTGAAAAGAGTAAAATAGAGCGCTCTAATGTAATGTATATATGTATATACACCACATGGACATATGAGCAAGGTCAAAATCTATATTTTTACTTATGTGGGTTTTTAAATGAGGAGAAAAGGGTTGCTTTTGGAATTCATAATTAACATACATAGACAAAAAAGCTTTAAGATCTTAAATAAATGTACTTCATTACCGTCAGTTGTTGGTTTGATCCAGCACTGTTCAACCCACACAGAACATCAAAGACGCTCCTCTGTCAGCTGAGTTTTTTCCTGTGTGGCTCTTTGATGACTGCCTGAGGACACAGTGTGATTCCACAGAGACAGTCTGAAGCAAACAGAGGAAGACTGAACACTCTTCCTCAGCAACACAGTGCCACAGAAACATCAGAGAAAAATACCAGAGTTTAGAAAGACTAAAGCAAAGATAAAGGTTGGAAATGTATGTTCATAGACAGCCTGAGCTATGCTATTATTCTTACATTTAGATTTATTGCATATTGTTTATTGCACATTTTGTTCATTTAGTATTCTGTGTTTGTCAATTAAAAAAGTATACATTTTGTTATACATGGATACAGTTTTGTAATTCAGTTTTATAAAAGAATATGAGCATTTACATAAAAATATATTGCAGCCACATTCTTCTATGGCTTCATAAAATTTTAAATTTTTTTTTTTAAATAGAAAAGAAAAACACCAGAGAGAGCTCAAAAGCTGATCTTTACTGTAGAGAAGAAGAGAGAAATAATACAATAAACAGTGAAAGAAAAGACAGAGCACAGGAACAGTGTGGAGGAAAGGGGCCTTCCTACTGGCTGTGTCGAGCAAACATGCCTCTGGAAAAGATGCTGGCAAAGCAGAAAATCTCAGCCGGACCGCTGAACACTGGACAAAACAATATTCAAGTGTGCTGATTCATCCATATTTTCCCGAGAAGGAACAAGCTCGACAGAGAAACATGAACCCACTTATCCCACGTGATTCATTTATAAAAGATTGTTGTTGTTTTATTGATTTCCCTCAGAATACCTAACACCTCCTGTCATCCTGTTTTATTATTTGCCGGAAATCCTCGAGTGTTTGTTGTTTTTACTCCCAACAAGCTCAGTGTTGGATGTGTCATGTACATGTCATGTATTTGCAACCTGATGACCAAAACATCCCGTTTTACATCAAACACACTGAGATCTGGTGTCAAGACTGTTCTCCTGTCAGTGTGTGTGTGTGTGTGTGTGTGTGTGTGTGTGTGTGTTATCTCAAAATGGGCCATCACACAGATTTGACCTCCGTTTTCCTGTTTCCTTGTCCGCTTCACATTTGTTCTGGGGCTTCTCCAATGTGTTCGCTTTAGTCGGTTCTTCACTTTCGCCCGCTTCAGTTATATTTTTCGTACAAAACATGGCAAGACTTGGTTGCTTCACCCATCTTTTACTTTTGTTGTTTGCAGCATTTTTGCTGACCTCTGAGTCAAGTCTCAACAAAGGTACGTTTTCTTGTTATTTCTGGTGATCTGGGTGACAAGGCACATTTAGACCAAATACTGGAACATTCTGTAAGTAAATCTTTTCCAATTTTATTTTTTAAAATATATATATTTATTGATAATTTGCAGACATGAGACTATTGTAAACATTTCTTTAGGAATAACATAATATTTTATGGTATGTAGAATATTGTCAGCATGTTAATAAAATTTCAAACTGAGTCTGAGTCTGTAGTCAGACAACAGCCTCAGCAAATGTTCATTCGTCTATTGGAAATCTCTTTCTGTCAGCATCTGTTATTTTAAATGTGCTATGTAAATGACAGTGATGTGTCTTGACCTGACAAAATATTTCTACTGTGCCAGAACCTGATGGGAGATGTGTGTCTATAAATAAGACAGATTTTCTACATTTAGGATACTTTGTACATACTGTATCATGTGTATAGTATGTTAACACAGTTTAACACACATCATGGTACCATTAAAAGGACAGTAGAGGAAAAACAAACAAGCCTGTAATGCTTCAATGTAATGCTTGCTTTACTGTGTATAATTTTCTCCCAGAAAGTTTTGTGTGAACTTTTATCTTGAACTCTTGATGAACTTGTATAACTGATGCCGCTGTGAATGTGTGTAACTTTTCCTACATCTCAGCCGCCCCTCAGAGTTCCAGAGTTGCTGGCGTTTTCATGCTTAATCAAGAAGGAACATACACCTTGAACTTCACTGCTGCCAGAGCAGCCTGCCTGCTTCTGAATGTCACCATGGCAACCAGAGCCCAGATGAAGCGAGCAGTACAGCACGGACTGGAGACGTGCAGGTAGGCTCAAAGCATTTGGGTCTGCTCAGGTCAGGACAAATACCTGCTAAGATACTGGCAAACATGCAGCACTGAAGATTTAATATGAACCATTCATACAGAAAAATGTGCGATTGAACCAAGTGCATCATTTTACATTAGCTCAGAAATACCAGATGATACGGGACTTAGGAAAAATAATATCAGTCACTCTCTCTGTCTGTCTGTCTCTCTCTCTCTCTCTCTCTCTCTCTCTCTCTCACACACACACACACACACATATACAGTCAAGGAAAAAAATATTAGATCACTCTTGTTTTCTTCTATTTCTTGTTCATTTTAATGCCTGGTACCACTAAAGGTATAGTACCTGAAGAGGCCATTTCATGTCATCAGCAGCACTGCACATGCAAAGGCCTAGAGTGGCTTCCTGCTTACATTCAAGCCGTAGCACAACTCAGAAGTTTTCAGCTCTCACCTAGTGCCTAAAACAAAAGAATTATGTGAAGCAACAAAGGCAGCCATGGTTCTCTTGAATCCAATTTTCAGTTGATGCCCACTCCAGCCAGCTTTCTGGTTAGGAGGAAGCCTGGAGAAGCCTATAAACCAGACTGTCTTGCCCCTACAGTAAAACCTGGGGGTGGATCAGTGACGATCTGGGCTTGTTTCAGTTTGGGTGGAACAGGGCAAATGCAATTGTGTGACGAGTGAATGAAGCAGGTCATGTACAGGGCTACTCTTGAAAACAGTCTTCCTCCATCAGCTGGAAAACTCTTTCCTGCCTCGAATGACTGGATTTTCCAACAAGACAATGCCCCTTGCCACACGGCGAGATCAGTTAAAGCCTGGATGGAGAGCCAGAAAACTGGAACCATGCCTTGACCTGTTCAGTCACCTGATCTAAATCCAGTTGAAAACCTGTGGAAAATCATCAAACGCAAAATGGAGAACCACAAGCCCCCCAAAAAAGCAAATTTGTTTGAATTTGTGCAACAGGAATGGGCTGCTGTGACAGCAGAACAATGTCAGAAGCTGGTGAAGAGCATGTCAATATGCATGGCTGCAGTCATCAAAAACAATGGCCAACATGAAATGCCTAAAAGTGCTGTTTTTGGCAGTAAAATGCCATGGCTATTGATGGAAGAACTTACGTTACTTTGGTTATTATCAGGAAAACCATTGAACATGTCTGATATCAACTCTTCAGCTAAACTCTTATGAGCTATTTTTGTTGTTATCATTATATTTGTCCAAACAAATGTACCTTTAATTGTACCAGGCATTAAAATGAACAAGAAATTGAAGAAAACAAGGGTGGTCTAATCATTTTTTCCATGACTTACATACAG